CCACCTGCCACGCGAGCAGCTCGTGCAATGGTTTGGAGTGCACTACATGGTTCTCTTATATAGTGCAGGGTGTTATCACAATCAAAACATTGGATTGATACATCTGCACCAACTGGTTTCGCCACCGGCTAGCGGTCGTACACTCTCCTACACTGACGTGTTTGAACCCGTGAAGCATTTTGCGGACGGACAGACATACATACATACCGACAAACCGACACACAGAGTTAGTGGTTTATAGAATGTAAGGATAAAGTGATGAAGAGTGAAAGTTGTGATATGTTATAATGATTGGAGTAATCAGAAACTGTGAGATAGAGTTGCGGACGGGCGGCTGGTGAGCCAAAATGAGAATTTACGATTTCGCAATTGGCGCCCGCTTCGCCGCTATGTAGTGCCGAGTGAGTGATGTAGTACGGTAAATAGTGTGAGAATGCTGTAGTACACTATAAAACTAAAATGAGTGTGTTTGGCGAGTAAAGTAATCAAGGATGAATCGAATGGATTAAAAATGTCGAGATTAAAAATGCCGGACGGGCGGTTGTTAGGCGAAAATGAGAATTTACGATTTCGTAATAGCACTCGCCTTGCCTCTATTGGCCTGTTGACGGTCGATATGGTCAATCGTATTGACCTTGGAGCATGTAAAGGATTGAATCGATATTGTTAAGAGTACAGAAATGTATTATGAATGGGATTAATGTGTTATTGATTAACAACGCCTTGACACGTTAATTCGTGACTATGGTTGAATTACTTCAACGGGTTAGCTGTAGTAAAGAATGATCTGTTTTCGATTTTGCCTTCCGCTGCGGTTGTAACCGTGTTGGTGAAGGCTCTTTCTTTTTTGTACTAGCGATGGACTCTGGGTCATCAGCTGATACTTCAAGTGGTATCAGCTGATTCAGTGAACGTTTGAGGATGCTTCCGCTTCCTGTTTTTAACGTTACTGACCTAGGTAGGTTGTCTGCTGAACGGTTTATCTCCACTATGATTGCAAGTGGCCAGTTGGTTCTTGATGAATTAGCTTGTTTGATTAGTACAATGTCTCCTACTCGTGTGGGGCTTTTTGCGCCCTGTTTCGGAGGTGTATTATTGAGACTCCTTTCTGCTAGGGTCTGAAGATATTCTTTGTGCCAACTGTCCCAAAACCGTTCGAGTGAGTCTCGTAGTACAGTGTAATACATGATGAGGTGTTCGTGCGAATCTGAAATAGGTAGTTGATCACTATTAGTGATCGATGTATTAGGTGCATCGAGACCTGCTAAACGGAATTGAGGATTTATGAGGTCGATAGGCGTAGTACAAGAATTTGGTCGTTGGAGTAAGTTAGGATTGGGGTGATAGGTCGCGTATTGAGCGTCGCTTCTATCTCTGACATGAGAGTTTGAAAGGCCCATACGTCGATAGTCAGTCTATGAAGTGCTTTTTTCATTGCCGACTTCACTGATCCGACTAGCCTTTCGTAGAATCCACCTTTCCAAGGGGAAAGTGGAGTGATAAACTCCCAGGTCAGATTTTGGGCTGTTGTGAAGTTGTGGATTAGTGGGTTATCTTTGAATTTCGTTAGTTCATTGGCTAGTATCTCTCTTCCTAGCTTGAATGTTGGAGCGTTGTCGCTTAACACGAGGCTGGGGGCGCCTCTACGAGCAACAAATCTCCTGAAGGCTAGGAGGAATTGAGAGGTAGAGTTGTCCTTGACTACTTCAAGATGTAAGGCGCGCGTTACTGTACAGGTGAACAGGCATACCCATACCTTTTGAATATGACCGACCTCCGAAGTAACCGCAAGTGGTCCAAAGTAGTCCAATCCAGTGTTTTGGAATGGACGACTCCGTACAACTCGGTGTGGCGTAGGTCTGGTGGATTAGGGTATTTATATGTGCGACCTTGATGCCTACGGCAGACTACGCATTTTGATATTACACTATTGACTATACGGCGGATCTTAGGAATGAAATATTGATTTCGTAGTGCTGCTATCAGATGTGCAGAACCCGCATGGAATAGTTTTTGATGATAATCTAGGATTATCATTCGTGTTAGCGGATGTTTGGGTAGCAGCACTATTGGTGTTTTTGCCGAGTAATCCACCGCAGCATGTGCTATGCGTAGTTTTGCTCTATAGACTCCGTTTTCGTTTATCAGCTGGAGTAGTTTTAATGCGCGACTCTGAAGTTGGAAGGCTCCCTCGCGATAATGCTCGCGGAGTAGAAGGAGTCTAGCCGCCTCTGAGTCTTTTGGTGTATTACCTTCGTTGTTGACACCTGATCTAGTAAGCTTGGAGTAGTGGTTTCGCCTCTTTGCTTTCTTATCACTCGGGCTCTGAGGCGTGCTAGGAACTTTAGTACATAGCTTGTAGTTTTGATTAGTTTGAAGTATGAATTAGTTCGATTGAATGGAATAAAGGAGGTGTAATTTTGCGTGGCTAACGCAGCTGTTGACTTGAATTCTGCTACTGCCTCTTTGGGGGCAGTGATTTTGCGGTGAAGTCAACATCTCCGTTAGGCCAGTTACTAGGATGAGTAAGTATGAACGCGGGGCCGTGCCACCACATGTGGTTTTTTATCTCTGAAGCTGAGATGCCTCGTGTGGCGCAATCGGCTGGATTATTGTCTGTATTAACATAAAAGAATTTACTTGAGATATTCTCTTTGGTGAGTTGCTCAAGTACTTCTTTTATGGCTTTGACTCTGTTATTAACGAAGGTTTTCAGCTGCTTGTCCGAGTGAATCCAGTACTGGCTATCTGGGAATCGGATAGTAGCTGAACTGATTGTGGAGTAACTTTGATTTGCTGTATTAGAAATCTGATTATTTTTGTGGCTAAGAGTATAGCCATTAGCTCTAGCCTGGGTATTGTTATTTTCCCAGGGTTCGCTAATCTGGTCTTTGAGAAGAACAGATGGCTGTATGGCTTTTCACCTGTTGTTCGATGTACTAGATACACAACGGCCGCGTAGGTCCTTTGCGAGGCGTCGGAAAAGACCACCAAATCGTAGTTGGTATTCTTTTGGAGGCCTATGTATCTTGGTACGCTGCCTACGAAGCCGCTGATATTATCTACCAGTTCTTTCCATTTCATTACTGTATTGTCGTCCAAAGGGTCATCCCATCCAAACTTGTTTAGCCACAAGTCTTGGATGAAGATTTTTGCCTTGACGAATAGAGGACTTAGTAGTCCTAATGGATCGAAGGTAGACGCAAAGGTCTTCAAAGCTGTCGCTTTGTCATGACCTTATCAGAAGTAATTTTTACGGGTATTTTTAAACTGTCTTCTTCCGTATTCCATTTAAGGCCTAATAGTTTGGAAGTGTTATGGGTCTTTTTCATGCGATCCTTTTCTGGAATAGCATTCATGATTAGTTTGTTATTTGACATGAATTCACGAAGATTCATGCCCATATTTTTGAAGATCGCTTTGCATTCTTTTTGCTTTGTAGTACCTTCGTCGACTGTCCTGGCACTGATGAGGACGTTGTCGACATGTGTACCACTTATGTCCTTTAAATGTAGAGAATTCCATGCGACCGCGATCGATCCTCTATTTGTTTGCGATCGTAATGCATCCTTTTCCTGCTCCGTCGGCAGCATATTTTGAATCTCTCCTCCTCCAGAAGGATGTCATCTATGGTGCTGAGCCATAGTTCTAACGTCCATTCGGAGCCTTGATCTGAACCAGTGAGTCCTGATTCCTGCTGAGGGAACGGTGCTTCGTGTCGAAGGCAGCGTCTCGTAGCCGACTTCTGAATTCTCGTGTGGAATTTTTGAAGAAAGGTGTTCACGGCCAAGTAGTTGTCCAAATGTTCACCGTGATCCTGGAGCTGCGCTGCTATTGCTGATAACTTCTCGAATAGTTGGCGCTGGTCCTCTGTCCGTGATCCACGCGCTGTGCAAGAGTTTAGATTCCTGTGCAATTCGAGAACTATTCCTTCCTTATGCCCTTAACGTTTAACCAAGTGTTCTAGGGCTTTCTGGTAGTTTGCAGCCGTGACCGGTCAGATCCTGCTCATGTACGTTCGCTAAAAACAGAGCCCCGTAGTTGTCCCACTCCCACCGCTTTCCACTGAATTTGGGGATGGGTATTTCCGGGAGTTTACTGAAGTGTCGTGCCCAGGTGCGGACAAGGGACGTTGGCATCGGCGGGGTGCACCCGGGTCACGCCAGAACGCGGGGTTATAAGGGCCCGCACCCTCCTACAAGGGGACGTCGCGCCGTTGTGTGTCCCAAGGGTCCTGCCGCGGGCTGAGTGAGGCCTGGACAACCATGTACCTACTCACTATAACTACTCTGACAAGACACCATTACCTTCAATAACTTCATATAGAAGAACACTATATGATAACATCGACAAAATCATTGTAATCCAATAACACATATGAGAAATGGCTAATCGATATTAATATGTACAACAAAATGATAATGAGGAAGTCATACCTGTGGATGAAGATGAGGATGGGAATAGTGAATGGAGGCATTGATCAGCAGTGACAGGAAAAGACACGGATCGAAGGTTGAATCAGGGAGACAGCAGAAATGTGCGCAATCCACCGGTTGCATGACGCTCATCCATGAGCGCACGACGACGACTGATTTGAAAAGTGATGACAATATACTATGTGCGCGGTTCCCCGCGATTCATGCTCTTCGTAGTAGGACCGACTGCAGTGCAACCCGAGCGCGGTATCCTCCCGGCACCCCATTAGCCCCCCAGGGACGGTCGTGCGACAGTCACGACACCGAGGGACAGGGAGCTTCTGTTAGGGCTTGAAACGGCACGTCAAATGTAGTTCGCCACTCATTGAATCCATGCAGTCCTCAGTATGCGCCACAATTTGCCCTTATATGTGTCCAGCTTCATTATTGCCTCGTGCGCTGATTCCACATACTTGTCGAACTGTGAGTCTCTCTCGGCTCAAGTGTCTAGGTAAACCTGATATCAAAGGTGCTCTGCTAGATAAAATCGCAAGAAAACGTGCTCGTGCTCGCCAATCTCCGTGCTCGTGCTCAGCCAATCTCCACGATAAAGTAGATAAAAGAATAGGAGGACGAATAGAATAGTTACGAATGCCTGTCGCGGGCAGTGATCCTTCGATGCACCAATAAATGGGGTCGTATACAGCATAGTAGTTAGAGAACAATACTGTGCCACGCGGGACTTTCTCGTACACGACCTCAAACTTGGGTAATTAAACATTTATCACTAATTCTACATGTAAGAGACAGTGACAGAAAGACCTTAGAAATATGAGCTGAAGATTCAAACCTAGACTACTACTCCTTAAGATCAGCTGAGGCTGAGGACAGCTCCCTAAGATACTAAGTTATAGTGCTCGTGCCGAATCCTACAAAAAATATGAAAGGTCGTGTTTCTAAAGCATATACACAAGAAGCGAACGAGAATAAAACATATCAGAAAACTAGAAAGAAAAGTTGAGAAAAATGTGACTGAGGCGACGATTACATGCGGCTTAAGAAGGCTCGATATCAGATAACAATGGGAAAAGCGTTACGTAGGTAACAACATCGATCAACATCCCGAATGTTTACATTTTTGTAAAGGCATCATGACTAAGGCTGTGAGAACACTACTGAGAATATCCTTAGTAAATACTGAACTAGAGTTCAGTATAATCAGGCTATCCAATCTGTACTGCCTTCTCATAGGCAAGTGAAGGTCTTTAATATACCGGGGAGTGCCACAGCTTCAGTTCAACCTCTTGATGTCTATTTCTTCTTGCCTTTTAAATCCATGTACAAACGTTTTACATCCTATGTGATAGCTCATGACATGAACTTCTCTCTACACACACGAGACTCTATTCTCCGTCTGCTGTCTCTAGTGTACTCGCAGTTCTGCGCACCCAGGTTTAGGAAATTCCTGTCTTATTCCTGGTATGCAGGCAGGTTACTTGAGTTCACACCCCGGTGAGTTAGAAACACCTTTGCAGTATTGCTTCTAACCAAGTTGACTGGACTTTAAGATTGCATTGCGGTGTGATGACTCTATTTCATTCGTTGGTGCCCAACTGTTGACGAGGTTGTACTGTTTTGACCACTTCCTCATCGTGAAAAGATATCACATCGTGTTCAATTGGATTACTCATGGACATGGAATCTATAACGGCAAATCTCCAGTTTACCAAGATCATAATAATCAAAACCCTTCGAAGAAAGTATGTGCGAATCTGAATAAATATATTCCTCTCCTTCGTATGCCGAATAAGGCGGGAATATTAACAAACAAGTTGAGTGGGCAAACTTTCTGGACTCGTGCGTGATGTTTCGAAGAAAAGCAAAATTGCTGCATATCAAGGATTCGAACCTCTGACCTATTGCTTATGAACTAGCATCCCTATCCACTGCTCCACCGACGACCACACTCTGAGTCTCGCTTCCCTTGAATTTAAACAGACGGGGTGAGGCAAAGTGGTATGCTAAAAAGACCCCCTTCGTAACTTTCTTCAGAGAATCGTTCTGCAAATTCTGAGCGCAGATTTGAGTTCAGCATCTCGAGATCTGTCTTCCAGTATGCATCTCATTGCAAATGGCCAGGCTGACCCATTAACCTTTCCTGGTGAGAAGTGCGCAGGAATGGAGATGAAGGGTGGTGATTGCCAGATGCTATTTCGGACTCCACCCACAGGCAAAGTATGCAGACGCAGCGCGCGCCGCCGAGCACCATAACCTGGAACTATTTGTCTGCAGCCCTCTCTCGTTCATTTGTCCCTCAGAATGATGCGCGATAGGCGATCGCCTTCATGCTGCTTCACTGCCATTGACCGCCGCATCCTGCATGTGATGGCCGCACTTGTGGCAACAGAGGTGGAGAGTTCCGAATATGACTAGCCATCAGAACACTTTATTCTCATTGTACGCCACTTCACCAGTGAGGAAAGTGGCACACTTCCATAGACTGGACCTGTGAGCTTGTCTAGCTCAGCTACAGCGCCAAACCGACCTCTCACAAGAAAGGAATCAAATGCCCAAATTGAAGTTCTGAACAGCATTTGTTAAGGAAATGATGGATTTGGTTGTCAATGCCAGGGATTTGTTCAACGCTCAGCCAATGATGTTGGAATGCACAGCGCCTGTAAACATCTGCGGTGACATACACGGCCAACTAAGCGATTTACTTCGAATATTCAATATGGTGAACGTCAACCTCCAGCTGAGCTTCTTCCCTAGCGATTTTTGTGAATCTCAAAAGCGTGTTTTCTAGATTGGATGGCCTCCAACAGTGAATTACTTGTTTCTCGGTGATTACATCGACCGTGGGCAATGGAGCCTAGAAACTATATTGCTTTTATTCTCATTAAAAGTAAGGAACATTTATTCCACTGAAAAAGCCAGTTCAGCAGGGAACCGCTTGATTTCAGCTGAAATTCCCTGACAATTTCCTTCTCATTCGCGGTAACCACGAAACACCGATCGTTAACAGAATCTATGGCTTCTATGAGGACCTCGTACGTCGCTTCGGTACACCTCGCCTCTACAACGTCTTCCAGGTGAATTCAGTCATTCCAGGGAAAATTCATTCACTTGCGGTGGAGATGACAGGCGGCTCGCTCGCTCAGCGTTAGGGACGAGCCGCGGATGCACTCCAGCAGTGGCCAACCAGCGCTTGCCCATGCCCGGAGGATTACTTAGTACCGGACTCGCTTGGGACGATAAAACCACTGGGCTGGACATGGCCTCTCACCCGCATGGCATTGCATAGGCCAAGCAGTATCCCATAATGCCACTATTAGTCTGAATGGAAAAGGAACGCGCACGCAGCCTAATCCTCTTACTGTTCATCTATTCATTTCCATTCCATCAAGTTGCCTCACCGAGACTGTAGAGATCCGTTGCAAGCGGGGTCATGTGCGCGGCATTCGCACCAGGACCTATGCGGTTTGCGCATTGTCAGCTCCACTGTTAGGTGCTAATGGTGAAATCAGCAATACTGTGCGTCAGAGCGGTCGGACAATACATCTTTGTACTTTCAGGAAGTTTTCGCAGTGATGCCGTTGACAGCAGTGGTGGCAGATAGAATTCTTTGTATGCATGGTGGCCTGTCGCCATCGCTTCTCACTGCACCTTCTCTTTCCATTCTTAATGATATCCGTCGTCCAATTCAAGTACGCCTGCTTGCATCGTTTCAATTCACCATCTTTCAGGATGAACGAAGTTATAGGCCATTTGCTACAACAAATATTTCAGGATCCTCCAAATCCATCATTGCCGCTAGATCTTCTTTGGGCTGATCCCGACATCCACGTTAAGCAGTTCAAATTTAGCATAAGGTAAAGAATAACAGTGTAATTACCACTGTAGCCTGACCAAATGGTTACACTGCGATAAGCAAGGAAATTTGCCTTCGTAACCCCAGGCACGGGCACTGGAAGTCAACAGAAAGAGCACTGAGGAGTAAACGTGACGAGGCGTGCTGCAGGCACATCACCAAATAATAGTCTAGAAAAAAAGGCTGCTACATACTTTTTCCAACAAAACTGATAGGACCAGGGACACGAACAGATGACCAGGAAACAGAGGGGGAGAAAGAAGGAACTAAACAGGTGAATGTGGACTGCTAACCATACGAGCGCAGAGAGATTTCAGTGACAGCCGAAGTCACGACGAGGGGGACGTGGGTAGGATGTCACCTACGAATCTGGGAGTAAAATGCGATGGATCCATCGTGCCTTTTCTACACCGGAGATATTGTTACGATACGGCTTTCTTAAACCAAGCCCGCCACATTGGAAGGTACAGTCTAGCTGGTGTGAGCAAACATGTTGTAAACAACCACAATTTTTGGATGCATTATCTTAACTTGCAACTTTGTAAATCGTTGTGTTTTCGCGAACTCTGTCAGCCGCTTTTGCGATGCGGATTGATTGGCTTTTGCCATTTCTCGATGGTTTTGGCGCGGCGCCAAACTCCGTTCGGCCACTATTGATAAAGGCGAGGCAAGCGGCAGCCGTATAATCGTTGTCTGTTTTTATCAGTTCATTCAGTTCACCAAATCCGTGGTGGTGCATCACCGAGTTGCCCCCGTCCCCAACCTGCGCCCGCCAGTGCGTGGCAATCCGTTGTCGCTTACCAATTCATCAACTAGAGGAGAACGGGTTTGGCTCCAAGCCAAATCCACCCCTTCCGGACACGCTCCTTCATCCGGCGAACAAAACTATGGTAAAGAACGAACTTACAGCTGTTATAGAATGTAGCTTAACGTCCCGCCGGCTGCTGCCATTCCGTTTTTTTGGGAGGTAGATGCGTAACTCGTAATCCCTGTTCAACGATATTGTCTACTCTGCGCACGTTGCAGAGGTGTTAGCTGTACGTTTGGGCCGGATGTCGTGCAGACGGTACTTGACAGATATGGACTGGACTGCATTGTCAGAGCCCATCAGGTTATTAGATTATTTTTCCTGTGGCTTACGATGTACAAGAGGAACTACATCGTAGTTTGGCGACGGGGGTATTTTGCACTTTTGCAACTTCCCATTGTCATGTCGACTCAACAAGTAGAGATCTGCAAATTTGGTGACATGAAGTAATACCAGTCAAAGTTATCAGAAACCACTTGCCAACTCTTGAAAAAAATGCTGTCAACCCTTGTAAAGCGGTGAACACGACAATGGGAACAGCGAAAGTGCAGTTTCCCCCTCCCGTCGCCGAACTGCGCGTGAACCACTATCTACTATTAACAATGAGTACCTTTCCTTTCACCGCGAACACATTATTCCACCCGCTCTCTCGATCCGAGAGCTTCAAACGTCTGTTTTCACTACAAAGTTATCTGTAAATGCCTTTGATAAACTCGATTCTTTAGGTAGTACAAGATGGCTATGAGTTTTTCTCGAATCGAAAGCTGATCACCATCTTCTCAGCTCCGCATTATTGTGGACAATTCGATAACGCCGCCGCCGTCATGGTCGTCGGCCCGGACCTGCAGTGCTCATTTCGGGTATGTACAGTCATGATCCCTGCAAACATGTGTAACGGGGCGTGGACTGAAGCACGATGCCATCCTTAGTCCGCGATGATTGGTGGAAAAGGCTGATTTTGCTGCAATCCAATTCACGTCCCTTCCACGCCCTATACAGGGATCACTACAATATGTTTGCTTCAACATCTACACCTAGAGCTGACATTGACACACTTGTGCTAAGATTCTTATCACTGAAAATCCGGTTAAAGCCGATAATGCTCTGATCAATAAGAAGTACGGGTTTAAAAACAGTTGGCACAATGATTGGGTGCTCGACCTAAAATGCTAATAGGGCGCTATATAGTGGGAAACGGCGCGAAAGACGGAGTTGAAACGGTCAATCCCTCGCCGAAAAAGAGCCTCCGTTCTCCTACCGTGTTAGCTAATCAATTTTGGACGAGATTTCCCTTAAGGCTCTTACCCCTGACGCCTATCTGAAGGTACGGCTGCATCATGTTGTTACTCATATATATCCATTGCTGCATCACGAGCGCTTCATGCCAATGCCTTCGCTTCATAATTTGCTTGGCAAGTGAATCAATTAGAGCGTCTGGAACAGTTATCCATTTGTGGGCGGGCGGGCAAGGGGGGCGTTTGCGGAAAGTTGTCGGCTGATAGCGCCCTCATAGGTCACCCTTCCTGGAGAAGGCATTATGTCAGCGTCTGCTCAGCGGGGTCGCGGTAAATTTCTGTCCTGCCAGGCCTATTAGTCCCTGCTCGCGTTGGAGGATTTATCGTGCCAACTGCCTTTAATTGTGATCGGCTGCTCAAATGATATGGTTTCACAGACCCCAAAGGCACGCCTCAGCGTTCAGAGAAGGTCGGTTGTCAAATTACTAGCGCGCATGATGGGAATGAGGGAAAAATGCGGAAAAACAGGGACATCGTTCGTTGTGGCGAATCCGCCAAAAGGTAGGTTCGTATTTTGGGCCGCCGCCAGAAGAGGGGAGGGCGTTATTTGGCTGCCAGTGGAGATGGGGAGGGCGGTCTCACTCTTGGGCAGAGGAAAGATCTTTTTTGATTAGTGTAATTTTTTCGCTTCCCAGTATAGGGGCGTTTCGCTGTTTTCTTCATGTTGTTCTTACTTTAGAAATGGTTGGATTGAATTTGTGATTTCGCTGCTTCGTTGGTACTATTAACCCCCCCCCCCCGCCGCACGACGGTTCGATCCAGTTGGAGGGGGACAGAAGGCGGAGGGCGGGGATCGCACGGGACTCAAAGCCCCGACGACATTGATGTGCCCTGCAGAAAAAGCCGCCCCAAATTCCCCGTTTAGAAAGCCATGCTTGTATGTACGTGCATAAGGAGAAGGATAAGGAAGGGCGTGGTCGGACCAATTCCCACTAGTTGGTGTCAGCTGTTCCCCTGTATCACCTTACTCTCACCATTTGAAATGGAGATATCTGGTAGCAGAACAATCGCACCTCTAGAAATTTTTCAAAAATGAAAGCTAGGCGTTGCGGCGGCGAGTGGGCGTGGCGGCGCCTTCGCCTTGAGCGGGTCGCGCTTTCCTCACTGGGAAAGCGGTGCATTCTCCATGCTCGGGAACAGGACTATCATGTCCGAAAAAGGCGTCTCGCATCAAATGAACGCGGAGTGTGGCTTTAACCATTTCATTAAGACAATTGTAGGGGTCTTTTAGGACGCAATCAGATTGAAAATTCTAGCTCACCAATACCAAACCAAGGAATTTTCTGATAAACTTGAGGGAACTTCGGTAACCAAGGCTCTTCTAAGAAATTTAACTAACCCAGCACTTTCAGATTCTTCGACCACAGTTTCCGGGCAGAGCGGTCAAAGTTGCGGAGCCGAGAGAGGTTACTGTATATGGTAAACTGCGGTAACAAAAAGAAAATGAATAAAAATTACTCATGGAGTTCGCATTTGACGACATTTACAGGTGTTGACGATATGAAGTCCGAAAATTGATCACAGCCCAAAACAGAACAAGGAAGGTTCAGTGGCGCACCGACCAATGGATGCTGCACCGGTCTCGGAGACCATCTTCAAATTTGGACAAATAATATACTTAGGGATGGCTCAGCAACTGAGTTCGCTGTTAACTTAAACCTGACTTTTGAAGAAGGTCATCATAGGTCTCACCCACCTTTTTCGCCATTCCAAGTCTACTGGAAATCTTCGAAATCACTCGTTTCGGCCTAGTGAATTCCATGATTTCATGGATCAAACACTTGTGTGCGTAGCGCGGACCAATTTAGATCAGCAAGTCTTTCTCCGATTTTACGACCCCAAATATGAGACGGCCAGGGCGCCGTCTGCCCATTTGGCTAAGTGATGCCTGCGCTTTGGAGTAACCTCCATCTCTGCTATAGATCACCAATCAGCTGCACTGGATATCAAACTAAAACCTTCGCGAGCATTGACCCGATGAACACAATTCTTCGAAAGGATCGAAAGAATGGTTTGAAGTGTATCGGGTTGCGTGAGCCCAGTGAACTCATTGAACGACTTTGGCACATTGCATGGGCAAACGGAGACGCTTCTTTCATGTCTAATGCCCGTTGAAGCACATAATGACCAGCACTAGCATACTTGGTACAGCTAATATCACCACTTCATTTCTAGCCATTTCGTAAACACCGCTCCATATGTCAAAAGACCACATCCCTGAGAAGCGAAGGCGAGGCTGCACACTTCCTTCGAACATGGCGCGAAGCAGGTTATTCGTGAGATATTTCAATGCAAGGCAACTGTCATCCTGTATTGTGTTGGACAGAGGAGTTATAATGAATGTCTGAAAATGAAAACGTCCCATCACCAGCGCAGCCGCCGCCACCCTCACATGAAGTATGCAGCCACGCCCACCGCATCTCAGGGATTTCGTGTATGAATGAGCACGTGAAATATGTCACACAAGACTAGCCCGAAATGGTGGCTACTTCGTTATTGAAGGTCTTTTACTGCACAATTCAACATCATCCGCTTCCATCCAAATCCTTGACCTCCAACACACGTCTGTTAGTTCGATATGCTACAATGGAAGACGGAGTGTAGGCTTTTAAGATAGGTTGGCAATCTCAAAATTAATTGTCTTTAAGAACAAAAAAAATCACTTACCACCCGAAAGAGAGATCCTCTAAAGTTTTGAGAAAGGAGGGGGGAGTGACTTTGGGTTCATACACAACAACAGTTTCATGTAGCACATGTGCGCTGTTACGGTTGAGGGCGAAGCAAAACAGAGATATAGACGCTAGTTCGATGCGGGATGGTTGGCAGAAACATGTTCAGGGCAGTTCGAGTGTGTCACCCCGTTAGAGCCGTTCTCTGCCTTGTTGAAACACGCATGCGACAAAAAGTGGTAGAAAACGAGTAATACGAACGATATGATACAGTCATATCATTTGCTCGCTTTAACAACTGGTGGAGAACGGGTTTGGCACCGCGCCAAGACTCATCTCGCCTGACACGCGCCAACCGTCTCCCGCAGAAACTATACTATCCACCTCTGGCCCACAGAATTTCAAGTCGGCGCGTGATTGGTTAGTGAACGATTTGACATCATAGAAAAAGAACAATGGGGGATTGGAACGAGCCTATCCCGCTGGTGACGAAAACGCCCGGGTCGGATGGTTTTCGTTCCCATCCCTACCGAAACCGCCCTGACTGATTGCGACGATATCAGCCGTAAAACTGTGGGTATGCACAGGAATGCCCGGCCTCGCAACAACAGAAAAAAAGGAAAAAAAAAGTAAGACTCCATGATAGAAAGTCAACTGATCCACGAAATAATTTGAACTTAAAATTTATTGCAAAAACAATCAAAATTTCGTGATTTCCATGAAAGCATTGAGACAGGTGCTATTGATCAAAGAAGGGCAAATCCTTTGGATATATTCAACGGTCGGAGTTTAGTTGTACTATTTCTGAAGTAGAAAGTACACCCACGTATAAGGCGCACCTTCGCATAAAACGTCGCGGATGTTTCATCTTTACATGTGCCTAATTTAATTCCCTGCAGCTACAGTCCTCATCATTGCGGACCGGTGGGGCGTGTCAGCCAGTATGAGTGTGCACACTGTTGAAGCCGTTCTCAGCCTTTTTGTTGAAACGCGTATGCGACAAAAAGTGGTAGAAAACGAGTAATACGAAGGATATAATACAGTAATGTTTGTCGTTCTGCAACAGTTGTTGAAGTACTTGCCCGCTTCAACAACTGGTGCAGAACGACTTTGGCACCGCGCCAAACGCAGCCGCACTGACACGCCCCACCGGTCCGCAATGATGAGGACTGTACGTATGCCAACATTTGGGAGCGCGTTGTACGCGAAAAAGCGCCTCATACCCCAGATAAGGTAAAAGGGGAATCTCCGCCGTTGATCAATCCCTTTGTGGGATGCGGCACGCATTCTACTTCCATTCAGAATCGTAGTGGCTTATTGAATGCGATGTGGCCTATACAATGACTTGCGGGGCCAGCCGATGTACAAGTCAGTGTTTTATCCTCCCAGACGAATCTGGTACCAATTTACCGTCCCCGGGGGTAGAAGGCTTGGTTGGCCTGGGCGGGAGTCGACCCGGGATTTGAACCCGGCGCCGCGCGGGTGGTAGGCGTGCCATTTGTCACTACACCACCTCCGCCAAAAAATAGGGTAGTGATAGTGAACTACAGATGGGATAAAGCAAATGGATTCATTCACTAGTCCAACAAGTATTGCCATCTTTCAGTCGGATCACCACCTGGGTAAGCTCGGTATTATATTGTCTGTTGGCTAATGATGACTGGATTTGTCTTAATAGAGGCACTTTGGATTTGACTGAATAAAGGTATGATGAGACGAGGATGACGTCCTGGTATTCCAACAAGAATCTACCGGGGAATCCATTCATAGTATGACTGATATCTGTGACTTCTAAATATGATTGAGGCACTTGGCCAGGACTTCTAGGTGTTATACAAGATACCTAGGTGTTTCACGGGCAACATTTATGTTCTTGTAACCATAACTGGGTCTGCCATAGCGACTGCACAAGGAAACTGAATTTGACCCTGCGAACACTGACAGACGTCTCCGTTGCAGATGTTGTGGCGTGCTGGGGTAGGGTAGGGGTGGATTCGGCTCCACCCCATTCTCGGCCAATTGCTAAAGCGAGCAAGCAACAACAACTTGTAGAAAACGGGGTGACACCGCACAAAACCGAGCTCCTGATACGCCCCAGCGTCTGCACGAAAACGACTGCATACACATACTGTGTACGTATGTCTAGGAAAATAACTGAGCTACCGAAAAACCCTCATTTCTGAC